CCTTACAGAGTTCTATAAACCACCAAAATCTCATAGAAATGTGTGTCAATGTTATTCATTTATTACACTGGGGAAGGTTTTGCTGGGGGCTGGGGGCAGGCACCTTAGGCCCATCGTGGAAGAAGTAGGCCCACACCCAAAGAGATGGAAAGCATGGGAGCTGGAGGGGAGGAGTCGGAGGAGGCTGGAGAGAGCACCAGGCCCATAAAAGTGAAGTATAATGGGCAAAGCAGTTTTTCTCAGTCATTAAGAAAGCTGTTAATTAGGGGCCCCAGAATAAGAAGTAAAAACAAACACCAGGTTGGTTGTGGGAACTGAGATTTGGGCTGTGGATAGCACCCGGGAAGGAGGCCCAGAGGTGCAGGGTGTTAGCTGTCTCTTTGTCCTATCATTAGGGAGCTGAGAAATTACCCCACATCAAAGGCAGCTGGGGAGGAATGCGGGTGACCGCCATGAGACCCGGGAATGGTGATGCAAAGGATTGCCCATCCTGCCAAGCCTTGTGTGCCTAACCTCCTCAGGCATGAAGAATATGAGCTGGGCTGGGGAGAACGCAGGGTGGGGACAGCCATCTTCTGTCCACTTGGGGTGTTCCCTCCAGCTGGTCTTTCACCTCTGCCTCCCAAGACTCTAGCAGAGCATGAGTCTAAGGGTCACTTCCTCTGAGGTATCTGCCCTTGGCCTGAAGCAGAGAGGAGGGACCTTACTGTTGAAAGAGACTCAATGAACATCCCACCCATCCACCCCGTTCCATAAGCTACAACCCAGACAAGCTGGCCTTCTCTCTCTTCCTCACACATGACGCATCCATCACCCATCACCTATTGCCCATCTCTGTGCTTTGAACTCCTCATTGCCCACACCTGGAAGGCACTCCCTCTTTATTTCCTCTCCCCCCATCATGGCATCTGTCTCTTCCTTTAGTACAAAGCTCAGGTACCACCTTCCGCGTGATCCTCTCCTGATCCCCCAACAGCTAATGCCCTTCCTCCAGAACTATCTTGCATTTAATTTGTATTTATTAATTTATTAATAATTTAGTATTTGTAGATATTTATACAAATTCACTTTATATTTGTGCTACATGATATATGTGCCCTTTTTGTGTACTCCATTAGAATGTAAGCTCCTGGGGAATAGAGACTGTCTCAGTCTTTGTATTTGCGCCTCTAGTGTCTAACTGTGGGCCTGGCACGTAGTAGGCGCTTAATAACTACTTGCTGGTTGATTGCCACAGGAAGGTTATTCCAAACCCTGCTGGCAAGGAAAGTTGTTGGAATCCCATCTCCAGCTTGGGATACAGAGAGTTGCCTAATCAACCCACGCGCATTTGTTAAATGCCTGCTATGTGTCAGGTACTAGGAATACAATGGCAAAAATTAACTGCAAGGAATTTATAGTCTATGGCAGATACAATGTGTTCTTTATATAAGTACAAATATAAGTTCCCTTCTGCCAAGAAAGGGAATTAGCAGCATGGGGTGGGGGATATGGATCACAAAAGGCATTTTTTGAGCTGAGCTTGGAAGGAAACTTGGCATTTGAAGAATCATAGTGTATTCTAGCTGTGAGAAAGGCCAGGGCAAAAGTTCAGAGATGGGAAATGGAGCAAAGTGTGTGAGAAAGGCAAGCAGGCAGTCAGGCAAGGCTAACAAGTGAGCAAAGGAGCGTCAGGTATAATCAGGCAGGAAAGGGGTTGGAGCCAGGATGGTCTCCATGACCCAGCACCAAAGGAGTGTTGTGAGGAGATCGCTGGGTCTGGAGTCACACAACCTGGGCTTGAACGTTGATACCACTCCTGTGACATCGGTCGAGTAATTTCCGGCCCTGCTTTTGATTAGATGTCCTCTGGAGTCTGTGATCTCACGATCCTGTGTTGGGTGTACTTCTGTGGATGACTCATGAAAAGACATGGACGGAATGTCTTCCACCTGACCTCTACGGCTCTTCCCAGACCTAAAATCAAACAATCAACAAACATTTATTAAGCATTTGCTAATCTTCCAGTCATTAGGCTAGGCTCTGAGAATGCAAAAGCAATAAATGAAATCACCCCATTCTCTCCTTTCTGTGCCTGGGAACCCCATTCTCCTTGCCTGATCACAGACTCACCTCTAACCCTAACATGAGCTATTAGTCACTATAGAAACAAAATGTGGATTGCTCCATGAAGCCCATCCCCACTGCTGGATATAAGAGGTCAGAGCACTCCAGCAATTCCCAAAGGTTTATGGAGATCTGCTCATGGGCCCAGACCTGTGTGAGCTGGCTGTGCTGTTGGCAACCCAGCAAAGATGGTGCCATGAGTCTGAGAAACAAGACAATGTCCGGTCATGTGAGTGCAGTCGGAAATCACAGTAATCAGGGGAGACTTCCTGGAGGAGGAGGTGGCTCTTTGAGGATTGGACTTTAAAAAATTTGATTGGATGGAGGTAGTTATGGAGACTGCAGACTGGTTGGCAGAATGAGCAATGGATTAATGAGGTGAGGGGAGAGATTTCAAAAGGTATGAGCGTGTGTGTGTGTGTGTGTGTGTGTGTGTGTGTGTGTGTGTGAGAGAGAGAGAGAGAGAGAGACAGAGAGAGACAGACAGAGAGAGAGAGAGACAGAGAGAGACAGAAAGAGACAGAGTGTGTGTGTGTGTAAGATTGTTACCAATCTTCTTTGGTAAGCAAGACATGGAGGAAGAAGACATGACGTGTGAAGAGGTAGTAAGGAGACAAGATGTGTGGAATACTGACCACTCCCCCTGGCCCCATTGTAACATCTGACCCTAACTGCAGGTTGATATCTTCAAGCTTGGCTCTGACCCTGGCTACAGACTGACCCCTGACACCAGATAACCCTGACCACAGATTGCCTTCCCTCAGTATGTAGACAATGCACACTGGCACAAGACATGGCTCATAGTTGAGGGCCAGCACATCAAAGACCGCTGGGTTCAGAGCTGGGAAGACCTCATTTGAATTCTAGCTCAGGCACTCGCTTCTGTGTCTCTGGACAAATCACTTACCCACCTCCTCTGTAACCCACTTTCTTCATCCATAGTAACACCTACCTTACAGGACTGTTGTGGGGATCAAATGAGATCATGTGCATTAAAGCACTATAGAAAGGAGAGTGATTGTTATGTGGAGTGTCAGTGCGGTCTAATGGTGAGAGAGTTTGCTCAGGGCATGGGTTGAAGTCCAACGTCTGACACATATTGACTATGACCTCTCGATGCTCCCAGGCAGCTCTCTAGTTCTTTAGATTGCAGAGGAGGTATTGGTAGAGAAAAATGTCCTCACCGGGAGTTCTCTACATCAGTATGATCACAGGTCTAAGCTGGGGAGAAAAAAAAAAGAAATTCTTACATTGGGATGATGAGGTAGAAGAGCAATGAGGGCTATGAAGGTATCTGAAAAGCAGGAAGAAAGGGAGTACAGTGGATAATAATAATAAAATTATTATTATCATAGCTAGCATTTATATAGTATTTTAAAGTTTGCAAAATGCTTTCTAAGTATTATCTCATTTTATCCCATATCAATCCTAGAAGATTAGGGCTATTATTATCCCCATTTTCCAGATGAGTAAACTGAGTCTGAGAGAGGTTAAGTGACTTACCCAAGGTCACAGAGCTAGTAAGTGTCCAAGGCCAGAGGTGGACTCAGGTTTTCCAAATTCGAAGTCCAGTTACTCTTTCCACTTCACCACCCCTCTAGAGTGTCAGACTTGGAGTCAGAAAGACCCGAGTTCAGATTCTGCTTCAGACATTTGCAGTATGACTTTCAGCAAGTCATTTAACCTTTATCAGCCTCAGTTTATTCATCTGTAAAGTGAGGACAACATCTAACTCACAGGGTTTTTGTGACGATCAAAGAAGATAAAAAATGTAAAGCTGTTTGCAAACCTTAACATGTTAGCTATCATTGGTATTATTGGCATGACTTTTCCTTCCCTGGCTGGGTTCCAGTGACAGAAACACGCCATGAGCATTTGGGTAGAGCTTCAGGCCCTCCCCATCTGATGCTCATGAATCCGGGCACCTTGTCTTTGTGTTTATTCTTTCCTGTTCTAAGTAAAGGGCAATGGAGATGGCTATGACCTCGTGAGCTTTGAAAGGTCAGGAGAGCCAGCCACCAGAAAATCCAAGAACTAGACTTGGTCTACACTAGGATTTACCTGAAGCCAAATAGATGGTGAGGAGCAAAGTCTCAAGTAACTGGCCTAGCCCAGTCTAGCAGAAGCAGATAGAGACTCAGTTGACTGTGAACTTGAAGGGGCAAATTCTATGTCAAAACTTGGTTAGATCTGAGCCCACTCTCTCCAGTGACCAAGGCCACTTAGGAGGCTTCTATGATGTGCAAGGCATGAGGAGATAATGGACTAGATAGAAGGAGAGGATTCTCCATTTGGCATACATAATAAATGCTATGGCATCTTCCCAGGCTATAGGATAAGGGGAATGGAAACTTACCGGGCTCATCAACTAGGGAATGGCTAAACAAATTGTAGGGTGTGAATCTAATGGAATAGTACTGTCCTGCAAGAAATGACAAACATGGTGAATACAGAGAAGCATGGAAAGACTGACACGAACGGATGCAAAATGAAGTCAGTAGAGCCAAGGAAACAATATGCACAATGCAAAGAACAACAGTCACAAAAAGTGAAAAGTGAATGCTAAATTACAAAGAACAAACATGGCCCAAAGAAGAGATAGGAGAAGAGTGCCTTTGTGAAGTACGAAGTTCATGGGTGTGGAACATAGCCATCTATTTTTGGACTTTTTCAGTATATTATTTTTTTCTGATTTTTTTCTCATCTTCCACTCTTTTCTTTAAAAATTACTCTTTGTGATACAGAATAACTCTCTGGGAAGTAGAGAGATAGTTGAATGCAATGAAAACACAAGATATCAATAAAAATATACTTGAAAAAACTTATGTAAGTTCTCAGTCTGGCTGTTTGTAATGCTGGCCTTAATCATCCTAGGACCTAACTCTGTGGGGACGATGGTGATGGCAGTGGTGGTGGCCATGAAGATGGTAGTAGTAGTAATTATAGCGACAAAAATGATTGTGACAATGGCAGTGAATGTCATGATAAATGGTGGTAGAGAAGATGAGGGTAGCGATAGAGACAATGATGTTGAGATTGGCTGTGAAGATGATGGTGATGGAGGTAGCAGTGGTTTTAGTGATGAGGGTAATGGTGGTAACAATTATGATGGTGGTAACGGTGGTAAAAATAATGATGATTGGGGTAGAGATAATGATTGCAATAGTAGAAATGATGGTTTAGTGGACGATGGTGGTAGATGTGACAATGATGGTGGTGATGGAGGTGGTAAAGATGGTGGTGAAGATGATGATGACAGCAGTGAGGAATATGATGGGAGTGGTAGTGATGCTACTCCTATCAAGGATGGAGATGGGGGTGGCAGTCATGAGGGTGGTAGAGATGGTGGTGATGAGCAGAGGGAAGAGGAAAGAATGACATCCACTCACCTTGTGACTTACAGAGCAATTTCCTCTCAACATCTCCGTGAAATTGATGTCACAGATATTTTTATGCCCATTTGACAGATGAGGAAATGTCCATGATTTGTCCAAGGTGATATAACTAGTAAGTGGTAGTAACTAGAACCCAGAGATAGCCATTTCAATCCAACAGTGCATATTTATTCTATGTGCCACATCCTGTGTCATGTCCTCAGGCTACAAAAACTAATAAAAGAACTCCTGCCTTCAAGGATTTTACATTCTCCCCATAGGTTCTACCTACAAAATAGATACTGAGTAAATTCCAAGTCATTGGGGTGGGGGACAACACCTCACTGACACCAGAGGAGATCAGGAAAAGTCTTCTGTACGTGGCTGGTCTCTGCTTTGAAGGAACCAGGGAGATTTGACAAGATGATGGGGAGCAGAGAGGGCGCTCCAAGCATGAAAAAAGCAGAGACAGAAGATGGGATGTCATGTGAAGTTACCAGTAGAAGGTACCTGATCTCCTAAATGGTCTCCCAGCCCCCATTCTCTGACCTTTCCAAGCTACCCTCCACACAGACATCGAAATAACCTTCCTAAAACACAGATCTAAACATGTCCCTTCCTTGTTCAGAAATCTTATTAACTAAAATTAAAAAACAACCCTTCACCTGAAATTCAAGTCTTTTCCATAGTCTGACTCCAATCTACCTTTCTAGGATTATGTATTATTAATAATGTAAACAGTAAGTTGCCCCCGATGCCCCTGACTAAAAATTATTCCTCCTTCCCGAATCTTTTCTGTTAAATCTTTCTTATGCCTTTACCACATTCTAATTCAATAATAATAGCTCACATTTTAAGAGTTTCAAAGTATTTTCTTTGCAACAAGAAAAGTAATATCATTCCTGTTTTAGAGGCACTCAACTAGTAAGAATCAGAATGAAACTTTGAACCAGGTCTCTCCTGAGTCCAAGATTAATGCTCAGTCTGCTACCCTAGGCTGTATTAATGGGTAATATAAATGTATGTGTGTATCCTAATATAGATATCTGTGTGTCTTATCTGAGCAGGACCTAATATATTTTAAAAATTACCTTTGAAGCCAAGAAGATCTGGGTTCAAGTTCTACCCTGATGCATACTGGGTATACGACCTTGGGTAAATCACTCAACATGCCTGGGCTCTAGGAAATTCTCGAAGTCAGGGAAGTATTGACTTGCATTGGTGGAAGGAGTTTCCTTATCTGGAAGTTTCCTCATCTGGAAGTTTTCTCTATCACTGGAATCACAAGTCCAGTCCACATGCCTCCTGGCCCTCTGTCCCAGGGCAGGGATTATGCTTCATTCCTTACTTTTGTATCCCTCTCTACTAGCACAGAGTTAGTGCTCACTAAATGAGTGTAGCTAAGAAGTACAGTGAGTAGACTCTAGGCCTAGGGTCAGAAAGACTCATTTTTCCCAACTTCAAATCCACTTACTAGTTGTGTGACTCTGGGCAAGTCTATTAATCTTCTTTGCCTCAGTTTCCTCATCTGTCAAATGACCTGGAGAACGAAATGGCAAACTACTCCAGCATCTTTGCCAAGAAAAGCCCAAATGGAGTCACCTAGAGACACAACAAGAAATGCATGCTGAAATAAACTGAAATGTCTACATTATGTTCAAAGCCCTGGGAGAGCTATGAAGGCTGGATAAGTGTTCCTGCCTTGACTGAGCTCACCCTCTATAGGAGCACAAGTCACAAACACAGGTCTCTATAGCACCCAGTATTGCCTGCCTTTTCTGCCTTATTGTTCAACACTCCCCTTCCTGCATCCTATGGGCACTCAGACTAGCCTCTGTTCTTTGCACACAGGGCTCTGTCTCCCATCTTCCGTGCCTTTCTTCCAGCTGAACCGGATGCCTGGAGTGCCCTTCTTCACCTCTATTCCATCAACTCTCTTTCTACCTTTGAGACTCAGCACCTGGAGAGGCAGATTTGGCCTCTACTTCCGGGGAAATTTCTGATCAATTAGTCATCCCAAAACTGAACTCGAGAAGTGAGGGAGCCTTCTCTGGAACATACCAAGCTAGTCCTAACCCTTCAATTACTTTGTATTTAACCATCTTAAATTCTTTTTTTTTCTTTTTATAGTTTTATATTTGTGTGCTGTCTTTTCTAGTGGATAAATATAAGCTCCCTGAGAGCAGATTGTTTCCCTTTTTTTGTCTTTGTTTTTCCAGCACCTAGATCAGAGGCACGTAAAAAGAGCTTAATAAATGCTCATTGACTGACTAAGACTTACATGCATGAACAAGTTGGGGAAAGTACTCTGCGAGTTCCAAAGGGGACCATAACATTATTGACTAGGAAAGTGAGGGAGGAAGCAATGCTTGGGATCCTAGATCTAGAATTGGGGGCTTCTCAGAAACAATCTGGTCCAACTGCCTCATTTTACAGAGGAAGAAGCTTCCAGGAAGTGACTTATTCAAGATCATACAGCAGGATTTGAACCCAGGTTCTCTGACTCCAGGGTCAGTATTCTTTCCACTTTACCATCCTGCTGAGCTGAGACTTAAAGGACAGGTAGGAATTCAACAGGAGCAGAGGAGATGACCCATAGGTAATAGCAAGGACCAAAGCATGAGGGGCATGTCCAAGGGCTGGTGACCAGCCCTAGGTGACTGGAGCAGAGTCTGTGTGAATGGGATGAGGTGGAGGAGAAGGAGGAGGAGACAAAATGGGAAAAGTAAGATGGCGCCAGACCCGGAAGGGCCTTGATTGCCAGGCATGGGAACTTACATGTCATTATCATGGAAGCTCAGTGTGACAGGCTAATTCAGCAGGGGCCCCAAGAATGCATGGAGACAGAGAGAGCTGTAAGGGGGCCACAGCATCCCAAAATTTGGGGTTCCAACCTTGGCCCTGCCATAATACAGTACCCAAGTGACCTTGACCAAGTTACTGACCCTCTGTTTCCCCATTCGTAAATGAGGCGGCTGGACCAGATGCTTCTGAGATCCCTCCTACTCCAAATCTATGGTCAGCAGCCCAGAGCCTGCAGCCAGCATCCAGGGGAACAGTCCTGTTCAGTCTGGTCTGACTCTTTAGACCCCACTGGGGGTTATATACATGCATATATACACGTGTGTGTATAAAAATAATTTTCCCCAATAACATGTTAAAATAATTTTAAGACTTTTTAAAAGTTTTGAATTCCAAAATCTATCCTTCTCTCCTTCTTTTCCTCCTCCCCACCCCCAGACAGTAAGCAGTAAGATATAAGTTATACATGCATAATCATGTAAAACATTTCCATATTAATCATTTTGCATAGGAAATCTCAAATAAAAGAAAAAAGAATGAAAGAAAGTGAAAAATCTCAGGCTTCTGTCCATACTCAAATAATATCAGTTCTTTCTCTGGAGGCAGATAGCATGCTTCATCATTAGTCCCTTAGGATTGTCTTGGATCATTGTATTGCTGAGAATAGCTAAGTCATTTATAATTCATTGTACAATGTTGCTATTACTGTGTACAACATTCTCCTGGTTCTGCTTCCTTCACTTTGCTTCAGTTCCTGCAGGTCTTTCCAGGTTTTTCTAAAATTATCTTGCTTGCCATTTCTTATAGCACATTAATATTCTATCACACATTTGGGGTTTTTTTGGCAAAGATACTGGAATGGCTTGCCCCTTCCTTCTCCAGCTCATTTTACAAATAAGGAAACTGAGGCAAACAGGGTTAAGCAGCTTACCCAAGGTCAGCTAGTAGGTGTCTTAGGCCAGATTTGAATGCAAAAATATGAGTCTTCCTGACTCCAGGCCCAGGGCTTTATCTACTGGGCCATCTAGCTGCCCCTCACCAGGGGAAGGACCCCTGTGACAAAGAGGCCTTCCATTCTCCTCCCCCATCAACAACTGACCAACTGTCACCAACAGAGCAGACAAACCATCCTAGCTGAAATAGAAAGATACCTTAAAGGGGATTTAGAAGACAAATGGCAGAAGCAAGTCAAACCACCTTGACCAATCTCCCCTCAGGCCCAGGTGGAGACAGGCCAAGACCCTGAGCCCCAGAATGCCATTAACAGCATTGTTTCCTAAACCAGTGGTTTGGTCCCCAAAAGCTATCACCTAGGACAGCAACCCTTGAGGAAAAGAGACCATCATCCCATCCCTACCAACACCAACCACTGACCATCTGCTACCAACAAGCAGACAAGCCTAAGAGCCTGGGGACCACAACATTCCCAAGATCAGCCCCCACAGCATTATGGAAGTGCATCAGCCCCCTCCTCCTTAGAAGCCATAGCTAGTGTGGGCAGGGAAGAGAAAGGTTTTGCCACTAAAATCTTTGTCCTTGACACTGTCAAACCAGAAACCAATATGGTTTTATCAGTGGAAATGACAAGAAAAAGATGCATCACCATTTGCTTTGCTGTTGCACCCTAAGGACCACTGGGCCCTCCCTTTGGACCTGTAGCTAAAATGTATGTTGTCTCCCAGGTAGCAGCACAGCTCGTAGAGTGCTGGAGCTAGAGTCAAGAAGGCTGAGTTCAAATCCAGCCTCAGACACTTATGTAGCTATGTAACCCAGGGTAAGCCACTTAATCTCTGTTTGCCTCAATTTCCTCATCTGTAAAATGGGGATAATAATAGCACCTGAGAGCAATGTGACCCTGAGCAAGTCTTAACTCACTGTCTTAGTTTCTTCCACAACAATCACACCACCTACCTCTCAGTATTGTGGTGAGTCTCAAATGAGATAATATTTATGTAGCGCTCAGCCCAATGCCTGGCACATAGGACGTGCTACATAAATGTTTATTCCTTCCTTCCTGTGCTCCACATGTTGATAAGTGCTCATTGAATTGAAATGAATGCAATTTCCCAGTCCTTTCAGTTTGCCAAGATGTTTTCTTCTGTTAACCACCAAGTTAGCTATTGCTCCCAGCTTTATGTCACCAGCAAATTTGTCAAGCATGCCACTTACGTCTTCAGCCAAGACCTCAGTGAAAGTATGGAATTGCACGTAGTCAAGGCAAGATCCCTGGGGTACATCTCTAGAGACCTCCTTCTAGGTTCAGTGGACAGGATTTAGAGCCAGAAGGG